CTCCCAACTTTAATAAAAAATACAATACCCGTAACCTGTGTTAATAGCAAAATCTGTTTTGTCATCAATTTCCATTCCCCCCTTGAAAAAGTGAAGTCCCCCTCAATTGTTACACCAAAGGGGGACAATCCCCCCTCATGGCTTCATCCTAGATGAAACACTGTAGTAGTGATAAAATCACTGGCAATTTCATTAGGTACTTGCTCTGATGTATCAACATTTACCACAATCTGATTGTCCAATGTTTAGTGAAAACGATTGTAAGGGACCCACACATTTTATAAGGGGTGGGTCCCAGGGACTCCACATTATCGAACACTAATGCAACCCCTGCTTGGGGCCAAAATTACTATCAGAAATGTGATCCCTGGTCAATCAGAATTTTATGGTTGCCAGAGGATCTGTTTCCCAGGGTAAGGGGCGCATGGCCATGGCATTAGAGTGCTGTACCCCTGTTCCCATGTTTAAAAAAAAAATCATGGGCTAATTGATCAACAAACATTTAATCCTAAGGCAATCCATAGGTTCAATCAGTTTCTCATTTTGAAAAGACAATTTTGTATTATGTTCAGATTTCAGGGTTGCTAGCAGTGAAACTTTTCAGTTCATCCAGGAATTTACTAAATTCTCTGTAGGTGGCAAATTTGCTGGTATGCAAGACACAGCAAACATCCCAATCATCAACTCCTGTAATAAACTCAAGCACACTTAGTGCTCCCATAAACTTCTTTGCCTATGCCTCACATGTTGCAGAAAGTGTGCTTATGTCCTTTATTCATTAGCAGCAGGGTTCTCCACGAGGGGTTTTTACAAGGCGCCGCGCCCTGTTATCTGAAATTGGCGCCCTGTTTAAATTGTCAGCGCCCTGTTATATTTCCTGTGCGCCCTGCATGGTCCCAGACAAAGAATTGTTTACAAAACAGGCCAACACTCATTGTCTTCTGAAGATGATTCATCGTGCTCAGGGTAACTGGTTCATTATTTTAAGGTGCAACTGTGAAAATTCCGGTTTGTTATCGTAGCAGGTCACCGTGAGGTGATAACACCACCAAACAAAAAGTTACAAGTTTTTTCAACACGATTAAAAATGAACATGCGGCCCAGAAAAGTGCATTACCGTACCCATATTTTTACTGCCAGGGTGACGTCAAATATATAAAATCGTTATCGGTAAAACCATTCGTTAAACATAAGGTCTATGGTTAAAACCAAGTTCACGCCGTGACTAGGTAGCGACAACATCGTCACCGCCGAGTGGAACAAAGGCAGCAACCGGGCAGCTATGCACTTGCATGATCGGTAAACGACCAGCGCAGCCGACGTACCAT